TTTAAAGAAACTTTCTAAACACTTATCATTATCATATTCTATAATGAAAGGAAATGATGGGAGCCAATATCATATTCTATAATGAAAGGAAATGGCAGCCAAATTCTTTTCATGAAATAACTTTTTTTCTGATTATGCATATGTTTCACTTTCTTTCACTTAAATTTTAACATGGGAACCTGTCAAAAGGTTTCTGTTTACATTATATCAGATTGTCCATGACCCTTAATTATAAGATAGGTCTCACCCACTGGAAATGTAGTGTTTCCCTACTCTTAATGAAGGAAGACACCAATTTTTGGTTTCTAACTCGTTCACCCCCGAATTTCATAATGAATTATTCCAAACTTTGAATTGGAAGAGTTCAAATGTGTCTTCAGGGGTAAATGAGTTAATATCAAGTGTTAGGTAATAGCATGACGTGGAAAAATGAGCAATGTGTGTTAGTTATCAAATCACAGATCCTGAGGGCACAAACTTATATGTTTGACCAGAACATCCATTATATATATTGGTATCATCACAGGTATAGAGACAGGACACAATCTTCAAAATGTATTTGGCCTAAATGATATCAAAAGTAAAGAGACAGGACACAGTAAATATATAAATTTGGCCTGATCAACAATATCAGAAGTAAAAGAGACAAGACACCAATATAAATGTATTTGGCCCGTACAATATCCATATCCCCTCGGTACTTATCAGAGTATGTACAGACAGGACACAAAATTATCAAGATATTGGGAAATTAAGTATAGAGAAAGGACACAAACATATTAATGTGTTTGGCCAAAACAATATCTATATTACATTGGTTCTTACCGGAGTATCCAAACAGGACACAAAATTAGCAAGGTATTTGGCAAATGAAGTATAAAGAAAGGACACACATATATTAATGTGTTTGGCCTAAACAATATCTATATTACATTGGTTCTTACCGGAGTATTCAAACAGGACACAAAATTAGCAAGGTTTTTGGCAAATGAAGTATAGAGAAAGGACACACATATTAATTTGTTTGGCCTAAACAACATGTGTTTGTACTCATCATACAATTGGTATACACAAAACCAATGCTTAACTGTTGACAGTTTTAGGAAAATCTGCAGAAAAATACTTCCAATACAACCTAAACTCATGATTGTCAACAATACTATAAAAACAAACATTGTTGAATGACATTTAGCAAAATTCATATACATTTGTAGTAATCTGGTCCAGGAAGGTTCCATGTTCAACATCAGGGAGGTAAGAATTTCTGGTGGGGCTTTTTTTGCAGTTAACAAGTTTACATTAGAATAAAATCCCACGTTTTTTTATCTACAATAAATAAACATTGAATAAAAGCCCACGTTTTGTGAATTTGAAGCAAGACCTACATGCACGTTTATCGGTTTAAAGGGTATCTATAACCTTAATGTTGAAAGGGCGTTTTCTTTGTGTTTCATGCCCTTAGAGTCCAGATAACCTTAAGGATCTCGGCCCATTGCAGGCACAACAAAAGGGCTTCCACTAGGGTTTTTCTTATATAAAAAGTTGAGTCCTAAAGGTTATTGTGTTTTTGGAGAGCCGTTTGGCCAGAGCTCTTCTGATGACCAGGCAGCTAATATAGGTTGGTAATTAGTGCCACAGTATCACAATCTGAGGTTCAGGGTTCAAATCCGATGGTCTAAGCCTGGCTGATTTTTTGTACACTTAGAACATAAATGAGTTATCAAAGCTGCAATAGTTATGCCAGAAGTTTCCAATACATACATGCAGTTACAGTTTTTGGCAGTGGTCCAGGGGTCCTTAAGTTTAGTAGAATTTTAACAAGGGCGTCATCATTCACGTCTGTAAATTAAAGACTGTGGCCAATGTATAAGACCTCAGTTTGGTCAAGCTTGGGGGTCAAACCACCATTTCATAATCATGGTACATGTACAAGGAAATCTTCTAGCCAATTTGTAATGTTACAACAGACTTAAGTTTGAATTGAGCCAGTGGACTTTAGGCATGAGGGTGAAGTTTCTTGAGATGTTATAATCTTCTGCCTTTCTGATAATTATTTTTTTCAATTTCATTAATCTGTACATTTGTTAGTGTCTTTTTGATTTAGAAAATGTTCACAACATATAGAAAAGTTAGATCAATTAAACAATAAACAACTATAAATACTATGTAAAACTCAAATTAGATACAATTTTCTGATTTTTTCCTCTTTCAACATAAAGAAAATATCTTCATTATTATTTCATCAAAAAGTCATTGTGATGTATAAATGACAGTATTTTCGTAATTTGTACCATACAAAATCTGCCAGTGCTTCATGTATGGGTTGGTATGTTTGTAATTATAACCTGTATGAATTTACAATGTATCCATTATATAAGTCTGGTACAATTGAATTCGTTACATAATACTATTGTGTATAATAAGCCAAACCCAGGCTATTTACCATCTTGTTATACAGTACGAGTTCTAAGTTACATCACCGACTTTTAATATTCATGACAGCTCTGATCCAGCTAATAGTACTGGCCATAGTCCCTCTTGACTGCTAATCCCACATTGAATACCCATATCGTCAGTCTTGACCATACATGTGCATAAATATTAACCAGCCAATTTCCTTACACAAAATTCATGTTTTCCCAACAGCTTGTATATATTATAGAAACAGACATTGAAACAGACACATAAATTCATTCTGCATGAATTCTGGACAAATGATTGGATCAACTCTTACAATACCAGTGTACAAAGTACTGTTAAGCGGTCTTTTATACTGGGATGGACGTTCAACTACACTCCATCAGTTTTCCCCAAAAACATCTCAACACATTTATTAGCTACGTATTCATACTTTTTGCATTGCAGCGTTTAGTTTGAAGATCAACTCATTACTGTTTAGATTAAAATAAAAAAAGGTCACATACAAAATATTATAAAAGGAAGTATGAGATGCTAAATATTAAATATAAAATGTCCATAAACTAACAATACTTTTCTAATTATTGCCTAGGTCCCTACTTATTCTTTCCTAAAGCCAATGTGTACAAAATCTCCACAAATATTGCCACTACGGTCTTGCCAAAGATTTATTTTCAATGATCAATTACACTGCATGCGTGTAATTCTTATGATGAAAGCATAACAGCCGATACATAAGACTATTTATATTATGCATTTGAGAAAGTCTGTTGTTCGTATTGTGAGTACATATACAGACTACAGGATAATGTAATACTGTTCGACGGTTTACTCACTATACCGTTTCATTATTATGGGAAACTCATTGTTCAAAAATACAATGCCATTTAAATTTTCTATGGTGGTGGAATTCACCGGTCTGTAGTACCTACCACTATGTGTGTACCTGTTGAGCTGAGTAACAAAATGTACATACATGTAGTATAGATCTGTATTCATGAATAAAATAATTCTGGTTTTCAATGCCAATGATATACACAGTGTATTGCTAATCTCAACTTTAACTTTATGGACCTCCTCGACTTCAAGTTCCAAAATACATGTGAAATTATTTCTAAAAAAAATCAACAAAATTTCTACAGGTTCATTTTTTTTTTAGTTTAGTCAGGTTTTGAACACAAGCTTAAAGAAAATACATGGTATGGTGTACAGCTTTTTAACTCATTCACTCCTGAAATTTCATATTGAACTATTACAACTTTTGAATGGGAAGAGTTCAAATGTGTCTTCAGTGGTGAATGTGCTAAAAAGAAATGGTACTGTATACATATTTATGAATGCAAAGGCACTAAAAAAGGTAGATTCTGTTTCCCTTCCAATTTATGATTGCCAATGAACACAGTGTCGAAGGTAAAAAGGTCAGGATATTTCTATATTCCAATTTACATTTACATTTTCCAAAACATCACCTTGAGAGAAATGAATCAAAAACACTGAATATATATTTATATATAGATCTGTAAACAGGAGAACTTAAAACCTGGCTTATAATGTAAATACGATGTTAGCAATCCTGTTTGCTATACATACTGTAGTAAAATTGCCTCTCTGAAATTTTACACACAACAGGTACCCCTTGCAAAAGAAAGTCAATCTCTTCAGCTAAGCACACTTGCCTTGTAAAATTCTGCAAGGTTCTCTAGTAAAATTATACTAGGATCACTTTTATTGTGTGTATGTGCACCAGAATATTCTTTAAAGTAACTGCATCCATCCGTAATCAAACAGAAATTAGCGGTGAATAGGTTGAAAATAGATTCTATCCTGTGAAATAAAATATCACACTCATATATATATTATATAAACACAAAACTAGTCTAACTATGATATGAAGAAATGGTCTAAACTAAAATTGAGGTCAAAATGACTGAATTACAAAAATTTAAAAATTAATGTACCAACTTATATTTTAAAGACAAAAATAAAAAGGAAAATCAATTATACAGAACCTGTTTTCCAAAACAAGAAACTGTCTCATTCAAAGAACATGTAAATTGCATTACCAAATACCAAACAATAGCCCCATAAAGGTATATATGTACATCACAAGTATCAATATAACAATGGAAGCTTGGGTGATTTTGTTTCCGTTGTACAAAGATGTACATGGACATAGGGTTGTGTTACAATGTTTCATTAAGTTTGTTCGAACTCCTCATTATCCAAACACACCAACCGACTTTTTTCCATTTATAATGTACACACTATCATTGTCAGGTCTTTTTTTCCGTCAGCGACAAAATAATTTGTTGATACTACTTTAATTTAACATACTGAAGATTGGAATTGGATCAGATTCAAGGTTTGAATTACCAAGAAGATATAATTAATGAAATTGCTTGTTGACCTAGAAAAACATCAACTAACATGTGCGTTCAAGACTGAAGGGTGTTGCATTACAAGGAGTCGCTTAACTCATTCACCCCTGAACTATTCCAACCTGTGAAACGGAAGCGTTCAAATGTGTCTTCAGGGGTGAATGAGCTGATGGATAAAATGTAACTCTAAGAAATTGTACTCACCACTTTGATGAAATGACGAAACTGTTGATCCATAGGTGCGAAGATCTTGTTCGTATACTGTTGTCATCATTGCATTTTTGTTCCTTCGCTGTACTTCCATGTTCTAGCATAAAGAATCTTTGCGGCAAATGGGAATTTTAACTTTGTATTTGAATTATACTCCTGATCCACGAAACTAACTGAGTGGTTCTTTGAAGGAAAAAAAAAAATGCAGGAAAAAAATATCTTGAAACGTCATATTTCGCCTGTAATTCAGACATAAGATTATCAATAATGCATTAAGATACCAAAATTTAAAAAAAACTGCATAGATTTATATAGTGCATCAATTTCCACTATCCTTAATATGTGCAATAAAGATGCTATTTATATATATATATATGGTACAACTGTTTTTGGTGTTTCCCCCCCTATATTTATGAAGAATGGAATCGATTGACTGTTCTTGCAGTCTAAAATATCTATATACAAATACACGATATATATTAATGTAATATATATGTTACATTTTCATAAGATCTTCGATTGGGAAGCACATTTCTTCAGCACTCAGTTTTCTCTGTTTAGAATAGTATACATCCCAGCTTGAATCCCTAATTCTTAATGACAATGTATATTTCAACTTGTCAAAACATTCTATTCAATTTCTTGGTTTAATATCCGGTTTTGGAAAGTTGATGTCTTCGACGATCTCAAACACACCTCCGATTGGAATCTCATTACGTTGTTTTACTTCTGTGTATTTTATATTAATCCATATAACTTTAATCCAAAATGACACAGCATCTTTCAAAATGTAAACAATGAAATCTGCGTCATTCACACTCTTCTAGGAGTCATTACGGTATCTGATATATATCACACGGGAAAGATGGTTGGCAAGTGTTCCGAGATTAGAACAGTTGTTCTGATCGCAGGCTGGGATCTCCACATGGAAATGATGATGAGTAATGATAGCTAATTAATATCACGTTGGGGAATATAACAATAAAAAAAATCACTGTATCTTGGTTGCAGGCTTGCAGTGCACATACATATATTGTTCCACCAATGATTCGGATGCGTCTCCTCAGGAGGCCATTTGCAATCGTTAATGGTGTTGCAAGTTTTTCCACGTATGTATATATATCTATACATATACATATGCAGCAACCTCCGGAGTAAGGAGACAGGGTTTGTTTCCCTCGGTAGTGCAAATGTCATGTACGTCATTCTCCACTCTGGAACGGAGGGAGGGAGGGGTATAGGAATGGTAACAGATTGGTTTTTTGTTCATGGTGTATCATCGCAAGTCAAATGATGACCAGTCCAACATCGTTTAGCGTTCACAAAACAGGTCTTCCACAGTAAAATGTCTCCATGACAAGATTCTCACATCTTTAAATCCATGTGAAGCTGTTAAACTTCCATAAAAACACACATCATTGAAAAGGCTACTGAATGGAACGAATACACTTTGGTCAAATGTCAACATCACAAATAAAAATATCACGTAATTTGGATATAGTTTGTTTTTGAATTCACACCGTTGTTTTTTAGTGATGGTTTTCAAGTTCTTCGTCCTTCAGTTAATCCAGTCTTCCACAACGAATTATCCTTTATGTCACTGACTTCACATGCTACCACATACAGTGATAAGTTCTTTGAGGAGTTTCTCTGTCTTTCCTAATATCACAAGTCCAGACGTCCAATGTCAATTCACTCCGTAGAATTTCATTTTGAAAGTAGATTGTCATTTCTTGTCACTATTATTCACTTCTAGTATGGAGACCATATATATATACATATATATTAAATATATATATACAATTATATACTGTTCGCACCTTGACAATGTTCACCATGCATTTACAACGATGGTTTCTTTTCATCACAATGTCCGAAAAATATAAGGTGTTGCTTTAGTCAAACATCCGTTTCAATACTTAGGTTATTTATGCTGGAAGGATTGTTCACTTTGCTGGTATGGTTCTCTTTTGGTCGGTCGTTGCTCAGATTGAAGCTACTACCTTCTTCCATTTCCATCATATTGTCAGAGCCACTATAATTAGAAGCCAGTGAATTCTTCTTGCTGTTTGAAAAGTTTGGACAGGATTGTACATGATGGTATGAGGACTTGTCATCTCCTTCTGTTTCTCTATGATAAAAGTAATTAAAGTTGGACACAATGACAGGCACTGGCAATGCAATGGTCAACACACCGGCAATGGCACACAATGAACCCACGAGTTTACCCCACACTCCTATAGGCCGCATGTCACCATATCCAACTGTCGTCATAGTGACAACAGCCCACCAGAATGCGTCCGGTATACTTCGAAAATGACTCAGTTCTGCATCAGCTTCAGCAAAGTATACCGCACTTGAGAACAAAATAACACCAATAAAAAGGAAGAAAATGAGCAGTCCAAGTTCTCTCATACTGGCCTTTAATGTCTGTCCCAAGATTTGAAGACCTTTAGAATGCCTTGATAATTTAAATATTCTGAAAACCCTAACTAATCTTATGACCCTCAAAATGGCTAACGACATTGCCTGGTTATTGCTTTTGCTCTCATCTGCGATCACCGTACCAAGCGTAATAAAGTATGGAATGATTGCCACGATATCAATGAAATTCATAATATTTTTGAAGAAACACAGCTTGTTGGGACAGGAAGCGTAACGTACAAGCAATTCAAATGTGAACCATATAATACAACATGTTTCTATGATGAAAAATGGCTCATTGAACTTGGGAATATCATCTTCCTCTATCTTTTCTGAGGTATTTGATCCTGCTGTTTGGTTAACTAACCTGTAATGTTTGAATTCTGGTAATGTTTCTAAGCAAAAGATCACAATGGATAAAAGGATCACTAGCACTGAAAAGATAGCTATCAGTCGGGCTGCGGTTGAGCTTTCTGGGTACTCAAATAGAAGCCATACCCGTCTTTGGAATTCATTCTGAGGTAAAGGTCTTTCTTCCTCCTTAATAAATCCTTCATCTTCCCTGAATTTTTCAATTGCATGTTCACCAAGTTCATAAAATTTCATTTCCTCCGAAAAGACATCCAGAGGAACATTAACAGGCCTACGGAGTCTGCCCCCACTTTGGTAATAGTATAGAATTGCATCGAAACAAGGCCGATTCCTGTCGAAAAAGTACTCATTTCGAAGCGGGTCATAGTAACGGTTTCGTTTTTGTGGGTTACCTAATAGTGTCTCTGGAAACTGGTTGAGAGTTTTCAGTTGAGTTTCGAACCGGAGACCACTGACGTTTATCACCACTCGTTCACAGCACTCATAATCACTGCCGTGTCCCTGTGGACCCATTCCGTCGTCATCATCGGAAGGCTTTGGATAGGACCTGGAATTTTGAAGACAATCGTGATTGTTTTTCGACAGAAGTGGTCGTTGTGAACTGTGTATTACATTATAACTAGGTGGACCTCCATTGCCATGAGGATCAAAACCTACCATAGCAGCCTCCATACTTGATGATTTTAGTGTATTTTCTTTATATAAATCCTTCACACAAAAAGTTTTGAGAACTATCACAGTTCACTGTTTTGAAGTTTATAAAGTAGAACTTTAAATCACATGCTTGGTTTTCTGTGTTCATTCATTGTTGATAATACTGAGTGAATGACAATGCCATTCAACGTAGTTGAACTGATACTGAAAATGCCAAACACCGCAACAATGAATGAACATATTATATACCCCAGTCTTCTATAGTATTTACCAAAATGTTCTACAAATATGGCCGACCAAAATTAATCTTTATCACAAATATTATTGAAATTCAATTCGTTGGTGAAAATGAAAAATCAAACCAAGCATGTCACGGTTCAAGTCGAAAAAAGTCTAACGGTAAATCACTCCGGGCTCCGTTTATAAACACCCGTACAAATTCCGGTCCAGAAGAATGAAAAAGATGAAAATCACCAAACTTTGCAACGATCAGTAATACCTGTCGTTATACAATACATAGCTATGGTAGATACTAATCCTGCAGGCAGTAAGGATAGCTTCTGTACACAAATCAGTCTAAAATGTCAGCTTCGTCTGCAAGCACGATAAACTGTGTCTTGATAATCGAGGGAGATTTTCCATTAAAATCCGAATCAGTAGTGGTGACTGTTATGCCTTTTCTACATGCATGGAGGTAGTAGGTTTGGATACACATGCTAAAACTCAATTGCAATTAACAACAAACCGTAATTCATGCAAAGTTTTCGCCCGCTACCTCCGTTCTGTTTACTCTAGGTTGACACGAATCTTGATAATTCATGCACATGTTTGCTAGTACTGTCAAATCGATCGACCAATGAAATTTGGTTTAACATCGAGGCTTGGAGATACCGACAGACGAAAATAACTTCTAACAGGTGCTTCTGAGTTCCAGCTAAATTATGCTTAGTACATGAATATTTATATGGCTATCCTACTTTTTGTTTCTGATAACATAGCACACGATTCACTTAGTGTAATATACAAATAACATTGGATTAAAATATATTTATCAGATCAGTGTTTGAGAAATTATTTACTGCGGATGGAAGCTTACCACATTCCCAGTGGTACGTCATCAAAAGCTTAGACAATTTAAACGTAGTTCAGACGTTGTGTGCGCTGTTTTCAGGGAGAAGGTAAAAAACATGTGCAGCACAAAAGCCCGGTGAGATGCGTGGAAAATAATTGATTGTGAGGGTCGATAAAGGAAACAACATTTGAAAAAACACTAACAACTAAAAAGAAGCAAAGCATCTAAGAAAAATGACTGCATTTTTACCACCAAATCTACTCGCACTTTTCGCCGCTAGAGACCCCATAACATATCTACCACCGGCTGACAAACAAAGCCACGAGAAGAAAAGGGTGCCTTACGGCGGAGTGGCAGTATTTCTTAACGAGTTTGAGGTAATTTTACATTGCTATATTTTACATATATTGTCATAGCATGAAATATTTTAGCATGAAATTCACATAAATGTTTGTCAAACACATACAATGCTACACTTACAATGTTTCCAAAATGGCGGACACCAGGGTTGCCATAATAATTTCAGCATGTGATCTGTGTGCCAAGTCGAGTAGCAGATTACCGAGAATATAAATCCTCGATATAACACACGAAATTTCAAGCAGCTCACGTCATTTTAGTGCACAGCTTTGTTAAAACCAGCAGCAGCAGCGGTGACACAATCAGTGATGTGATGTATACCATTCCTACTCTGTCCTCTTACATTTCCAACAGAGATTGAACGAGATACATCTTTCCACATCGACTCGGCTAGTACACCAATGCACACCAGAAAATCAGTAATGGTACACTCCGCTCACATCGTTAATGTTTACATTCTCTTTGGTATCTGTGAATGATAATCTAAGGATGGGAGTCTCCTCTTGTCACTAATTGCAAGCCTCTGCTATCGGGGCTGAGCTGATGCCTGTATGTATAAATAATTCACACATTCCTCCTGCTAGCTTAGCATAATTTAATTGAACCTTTCCACCTTTGGAGAAATTCTGATTGATCTCTCCTCCACATAACAATAATCCCAGGTGTTTTTTAGCTGGTACTACTCTACAAGCCCTAGTGATAAAGGATTCGTAAGGATTTCAGAATAGGGTTTGTTTGCGTTATTTTTAGTGGCAAATTTGTTTTAACTGAAACAGTTACATGTACAGACTACACACAAGTAACAGAGAAAGAGCCCAAAATCAATGGTACAACCTGCAATGCGCAATTACCACCTCCGAATGGAGATACTCTGTGTGACACGCTAACGGCTCTAAAATTGATTTCCCGGTGCATATATATCTAATGTTTGTTCTTCGGTTTGAACAATTGGTAGGGTTATTGAAGACATTTAGTACTGTTGCAATTATCACTGGACTGGAACGTGTGCTTAAAAAATGACTGGAGCTGGAGAGATAGGGATTTTTCGGTCTCTAATAATAAAAAAAATGCAGTGTAGAAACCAAAGGTAGCTATTGATCTGTACTGCCAGAAAAGAAAACAGCTTACAGTGCATAGATTAACACACTAATTACTTGAATTAGGTGTAAAGACAGATTGAAAGTAACATGAAAGCCAATAAAATGAGGAGGGTCCGGCACTTACCTTGGATAGGGCTGTTGGTCGAGCAGTGGCGTGGTTGTGTCGTCTTTCGAGTCCAGACAGTCATCATTATTTAGGTGACAATTTTTGTTGGCAATGTCTTGTGTAATGCCAACAACTATTATTGCGTCACATTTTCCATTGTTGCCTCCACCTGTACTGATGGTGTCATTATATGAAGGCGGGTTCGAGTCAGGCGAGGAAACTGGTGGAGATGTGGACACGTCTTGTCTTTGGGACTGTTGTTGTTGGTCTTTACACGTTTGTTTTTCAGTTGATTTTTGTTGCATTTTGAAAATATTTGGAAGACATGTTGATTTACTACTATCCTCACCTCCTCCACCTCCACCTCGAGATGAATCAGAAACGGAACTCGACCTTCCACTATTTGGTGCAGATTTACTTCTCCGTATCCGTCTTGCTGCCTGAACTCTCTCTAATCGTTGTGATTCAACAGCGTCGAGGTCTTTAGGCTGAAGAAGAAAGACAGAAGAATTGTCAGCTATTACAAATGAGTTGGATAATGAGCATAGTCCAGTTAATAAAGTATGCGACTTTTACCTGTGTGGTTCAGTCACTGGTGTCAAAAGACTCTGAAAATCTTATAGGAATAGTACAGTAGTATAGTTCAACTTGAATGTTGAGTGTGGTGTGTGTGTGTGCATTATAATGGTGTGTACCGGTCTAGAGAGAAGGCGATATATTGATTAGCCCAAGTAAAGAAGGAAAGTCAGTGAATTTTACATATCTATCTGGTAGCGTGCATTCCTTGATAAATTGTCTCCGGCAAATTTAATTTATGGTCGGCGTGGAAGGGGATTTTTTTTTTATCTCCGTTAATTTAAGCAGGGGGCCATTTTGGTCCTATAAGGTGTATTAGACCTAACACATTAAAACCCAATGGTCAAATGTAGACAGTTTTGAGGAAAGTTTTGTTTATTTACTTACTGAAACTTGGACAGGTTAGATGTGTATTTATTGTGTTAGCATGTAGTCATCTGTCTGTCTACCGGTAATCAAGCATTGTTTGTAAACCAACAGAGTTCTACAGCTGAAGAAGGGCTATTTATGATTATTGACGATCTTTTTGTTCATGTATACAAATTTTGGGGAAATGCTAAAAGTAAAGAAAAATCGCCAGCGACGAGAGAACAAAGTCTGACATTCTCAATCAATACTGCCTGTAGCAGCTCTGTGCTTTGTTTGCGTGATTTTAAAGTCAATATGTGCAGACAAATATATTTAGCCATATGTAATCAATATTGCAGGAGATTATGTGTATAGGGTATATGTTTCAGGAAGAATAACTGCTGTCAGATGTTTATGTCAGTCTCGCTGCATTAAAGGAATGTTATAATATGCTCATGTGAAATCCATATATATACATATATTAAAATATGTTGCATCATACTTTTGGACAGAAACGTATTGAATAGAAAACTGATAGAACAACATTTAAATCAATGGTATTGATGCAAAGTTACCTAATTATTTACAATAGTGTAACATGCGCTGCTTTATAGAAACAGTAGGGACAAGATGTACGGACAACAATGAAAAATGATTTAATCATTCCCTAATTTAACGCTTGATTTTCTCAAGTCAGTGTCACTTCCGAGTGGTACTTTTGATATATTGTTACAATTTTTAATTGTACAAAACTTCAAATGAAGACAAACTGTTGTGGATGGAAACATGCAATTCAAAAAGTTTATTTGATATCAATTTGTTTTTTAATTAATGACTATAGCAGTACGTTTGTATACTGTATTTACATTTTTTTTTAATTTTTTCTTTATTTAAATTGCTTAAAGCTTCAGCATGTACCTGTGATTATAAGCAGATTAGTTATGTATATAGGTATACTCTATAAATAATTCCAAACAATGCCCAAAATTTACCTGAGCATGCATTTTTGTTTCTTAAATAGATAGATAAATGAGATGGTATACAAGTTGTGGTTGATACTTATTAATCTACTGGTTCCCCTTTGCATCATTCCATGGACCCCTATTAGTTACCCTCCCTCGAAACAACATACATACACACACATGTGAAATTGTCCCCCCCCCCCACCCACCCTCTCTCTCCTTCTGTTTACTGTGTTTTAAGGTCCTTACCTGTGCTATTTTCTACATGCCCCAATTCCCTCTTCATTTCACCCCCTCCCTCTATTTTCTGTTTATTGTATCTTGTGATGGTATCTTCATGTGATTTCACCTGTTTACTGTTGATCTGCTACTGTGTTTCTGGGTATTTACCTGTGTTGTAATTACCTGGTTGAGTGTGTCAATCCCCCTCTTTAAGGTATCTATTCTTTTTTATCAAAACAGATTACATGTACTTGCTTTAACTGGGTACACCATGTAAAAAATGAATTATTTGCTTTGGGCTTTGGTGATGTATGGTTAAGCCAATCGTCGACTAATGTTAAATTAATTTTACCGCTTATTCGTCAAAGAATTTTTGACCAAGGCCAACAACATTTAAGAGGTTTACTAGAGACTTCCTCTAAGTGTTTTTTATACAAGTGTATCGTAGACCACTTTTCCATTCAGTATTATTTAACCAAATATATTCCTAAGAATTATAGAATTAGTCTAACAAAGTTACGAATGTCTGCACATTCATTAGCAATCGAGACCGGTAGATATCGCAACGTTATTCGAGAACAGAGATATTGTACGAACTGTAATTCGGCTACAGAAGTCGAAGATGAATACCATTTTATTCTGATATGTAAAACCTACCAAAACTTAAGAAGTCGCCTTATTAAAAAGTACTACTGGAAAAAGCCATCCATGTTTAAATTTATACAATTATTGTGTGTTAACAATACTAAGGAATTATGTCAACTTGGTAAATATATTTTTGAAGCTAATAAGTTAAGAATCTAATTTATTTACTCCACTCTCTCACTGTATATTGTGAGCCGTGTTATTGTGTATATTATGCATTGTATTGATATGTTTGTACTGATGGGCCGTAAGGCCGAAAGTTAATAAATGAATTGAATCTACCTGTATTGTCATATGTATTTTACCTGTGTTCTTACGTGTGATTGTGTTGTTACATGTTATTTTCCCTATTTACTTGATAATTTGCTATTCTAGGTCTTTATCTGTGTAATCAACAGGTAACCCTCCAACACCACCCAAAACCATCTCCATGTTTACTGTATGCCTGCAGCCACTCTTTGCCTCCAGCTCTTTTTACCTGTGATGGTCTCCATCCTTATTATTTACCTGTATTGAACACCCTGCCTGCCTATTCACCATTTGCCACCCCCAACTGTTTTCCTGGGGTTCTGTTTACTGGGGCTACAGGAGGCTTGACCCATTTTTACTGGGGCTACTGTGTCCATCATCCCACTTGTTTATTGGAGGCTAGTAACTTGTTACATATTCACCCCTGAAATTTCATAATGAACTATACACATCTTTAAATTGGAAGAGTTCAACTGTGTCTTCAGGGTTGAATAAGTAAATGATTTCCGTATGAAGAGTACCTGGTCTGCATGTATTTGATATTCCTATTCCGAGCTACTGGTTGTGTGGTAGTTCAGTTACTGTTGTAGCAATAATTTCATTACTTTTAACTTTCATACTTGCCAATTTTTGAAATGTTTGTGGGGGAGATTACACAACAATTTTTAATGGCATTTTTTAAATTGTTCTTTTAGATGAAATTATCAGATCTTAGAAAATAGGAATAGTTTAGCAAAATCACTGGTTGAAAATGTTCAATTTTAGGGTAGAAATCGAGAATCTCCCTCCAAAATAGGGAGAGTTGGCAGGTATGAACCTTTACCTTTACTTATTGTCTGCGAAGTTTAAAAGTGTACTTTCCCTAGCAAAATAGTTCTGCATTATCCCACTATTAATTAAATATGAAGAATATCTTCCCAATTTGAATATAAATCATTCCATATTTCCAATTCCTGTTGTAAAATTTTGGTAGACAAAATTCTACAAGTTGATACATACAAACACATCTTTAACCTATATGGAAACCTGTTGATAAACTCTTGAACTGTTCCCTGTTATTAACTTGTACCACTTGTGTGCTTCAGCAGCTGGACCGTTATCTACTCCAAACAGGAGATTATCTTGTTTGTTTTGACTGACTGACATCTTCCCTCCCATCTACACCTCTATTCCATTACACCGCTTGATAAATAAAACTACATTTCAGGATTATAGTTGGAACTTATGTCAATTTGATTAGAATTACAAATTCCCATTGATTCTATATGCAACATATCAATAAATTGGAGGGATGAGATTTAAAAGTTTTGAATTAATGTTATAAAGTTATTTTTCAGAGTTGACAACATGGTTAGTAATGACACGCCAATGGATATATCTAAAAAATATATTGTACATGCACATTCCTAAAATATGTACTTTGTAATAAACTGTTCCCCGTGGATTTTATAGGTATATATTTTATATAGATTTTTAAGTCTTTTTACCCCCGTATAAAATTTGAGTACAAGCAACTATTTTAGGGTCATAACACTTTCATCTAGGGGTTTTAGGAACAATGAATAAGTGCAGTATTCCTGTTATATGTGATGTCATTAGCCAATGTTGGTGTTATTTTGAGGCCTGTTATTTCTAGTACTGAAAATGCAATTTATTTCCTATTTTGATTTTACTTTTTATTTCCACAGGATCCTAAAGACACACCACCTCCAACACGAGTGGAGACAAAGGATGAACGGAAAGAAAGGAAGGTGAGCAACATTCTTGTTTGCCTTTGTTTTATTCTTTTCAAAGTAAAATACGAAGTTACTTGTTATGCTATAACTGTTTACGTCAGGGGTTTAAACATATTTTGTTGAAAGTTTTGTAGGTGAGTATAAAGCCTACTTGCTTAATCAATTTATGACAAGAGTCTTTTTCTTTAATTTGATACAAAAAATAAAAAATAATTAACATAATGGCAGAATACAGAAATTTATGGGGGAAGGGGTGGGTGGGTATGAACATAATAATCATATACAACATTACAATCAACCCTTCTGGAGAAACACTGCTGATGATATGAAACTTTAACAAGACTTCTAGTGCTAAAACTGACTTGGTACAAAATCCAGTCTGTGAGCACAGTACTATTGCACCAAAATGACCTTGGGGTGCAGATCCGTAAAAACTATTTGCATCTTTATTTTCTTGGTCTAAAATCATTCTGTTCTGACATAACCATCAATCATAAACGCAGCCCATCCCTTCAATGTATAAAACACACACACACTCTCGCCATTTTAAATTATATGTGGAACTGTCTTGGACATCAGTATCAAATTCATGTACACGTCTTAAAACAAAACATGAGGGCTTCTTATTCAATCGGTGACATCAGACATTGTTTGTAAAAACAAGTTCAATAATGTGTTTATTTGTGGATCGATTTGCAGTTTCCTTTGCCTGCTGTATATTATTTTAAGCCATCGTTATATACACCTTGCATGGTGATATGATGCCAAAAATCAACACATGTGAAAATTAAACACTGCAGCATCACAAAAAATATTACATACCCCCCTACAATCTATTTATAGACAAGCTAAGACTGTATATATGAACTATGAATTCTGAGTGAAATTAAGCCTGACATTCTGTGCTGTATGATAACTAGGTCGTAGAAGACACCTACCTGTTCATCTTCTAGTCAAGGTTGGCCTGACCTACCTGTCTGTGCCACAATCAATGCTGTAAGAATACATCATTATCAGCCACACTGGCTATGGGCTTCCGTTCACAATATACGTAGTGCAAAAGTAGATTCACTATTGTTACCAAAAATAACTTTTACTCATGAAATTTGGAGCAAGCCAATCTCGCAGTGTGATCTTCAGACTGTTCTTTCGCCATTCTTAGATCTCCAGTACCAACAAAACCTGTTCACTAGTGAACGAAAAAGTCTACTGTTAGTGTGTAGTGCATTTGACCGACCTTTGGTTGAAAAATTAGCCTAATGATAAGATTGCTATCACAGTCACAAGCCATTATATATGACGGGAAAACCAGTGTTACCCACAGCCCGATAATGTATAATGATTTTCTTCTGTTATCTTGAAATGTGCAGGGGGCCAGAAGTGTTTTCTGAATCCCCTTAAAGCAGTCTGTTTGAATTATAAAGTTTGTAACATGTTGAGGCTAACAGAATCTATATAACTTACCTCACGTTGACAAGACCGTGTTTACCAGGGAGTTCCTCCCAGGCAGCTTTTGATTAGCTCAAAATCCCCAACTGAAATATCCTAAAACCTGTTAAACTGTAAGGAAACTTGAAAAATTCCCCGAGATTTACCAAAGTAAAATTACTGCGATCACCTGCACCCCGATCATAATGGTTCGGTCGATTACCAGCGATTTTTTTCCGTTAAGGTAGAAATATCAAGAGTGTGTGTTTGAAGGTGAAATTGGAATACTAGTTAAGATACTCTGCATCCGAAAGAAAATGTCTTGCGCAGGCATCAAGAGCTGTTCTGATCGTCTGTGGTATATATATCTAGATTGCATATGTATGTATATACTGCAAGAAAATAGAGGAATCTGGTTTCAGTTTTTTACCTAGAGAGAAAACGGTAGAGAATAAACAGACTCATCATAAATGCGTTTGTGCGATCACTGTAATGTTCGCTGAATGGCCGAGTATGTATACAGTCCCAAGTGCAATGCTTTTCTTTTGTAAAGAAAAGTAAATGTCCCGATATTTAAGAAAAGCACATATACACCTATTACACTGCATTCAAGTCTAACGTTTTCTTCAGGGATAATTAGATTCAATCTTTTAATGTTTGAAAATGCTATTAAAAGTACTCGGAAATAAAAAAGATTGAATATGAACAATTTACCTGGGAATCAGTTTGGTAAAACATCTCGATCCAAATAAGACTTGTCACAGTTGTGTCAGTCCTGTGCAAGTAAAGACTTAAATTGGGGGTTTTAAAAGTGAAATTGGATGACCCCAAAACTTGAAATCCTTTATTTAAACATCAGTCTTTACAGAACAGGTTTAAAGTCTTGGCTCATGACCTTACAAAGGTCTGATTGTACATACTGAAGTATGTTATTTCAAGTGAAATTTTATAGACAAAACTGAAATGTATCTGTGCTGACAGTAGCAGTAAAATCAGTTTGACAGAATTCGTGTCATATACCCTATTCGCTACACACACGACACAAGAGATTCAATTGAACAACACACTGTTTTGAATAAAGTGGCAAACATGTTTATGTCCTGCAAACTGTAAATGAGTCAGCACTTGGAATGGTAGAACCATAATTAGTTTTAACTGAATATGTAACAAATCATTTTCTATTTATGATTACAAGGTCATTGTTCTAAAAACAATTAACATAAGGGTATTATTGGGTGAAGCTTTTTAAAGCTATTCATCAAACTGTACCCATTACCGGACAATATAAGTATAATATAAATGTCACTTCTGTGGGATCAGATTGATTTCAGCCACCAAAGTTAAGTTATTGGCATTCAGCTGTTTGCTTTCAACTTGTTTGTTTAACCTGTTGAATGATTTTCTACAAGTTAGGATCACATAATGCTTTTCCATAAATAGCTCTCAGAAAATACTACTACCATTCATATTAAAGATGAGCTGGACTAGTGTGTTGACACAGTGTGTATAGCGGTACATCGTATTTTTGACGTACATGTTCGGAATCGTCCCAGAAAAGTCTAATGACCACAGTATGACAGTTGGATTCATTGTAATGCAGGGTTAGACACTGTTTTTGTTTGGTAGTCCACAGGACTAGTTGAATGGATTACTTACTAGTCCTTTGTCAATGTAATTAGTCCAAGATTTCCTGATTGCTATCTACAGCACGAAACATCAAAAGTAATTGACTGTAGGAGACTTAAAACAACTGCTACTATAAATATATGGTAAAGTTTTAGGAAAATTTTGACAATCATGCAATGAATATATCTTATTTTCAGCAGTTTTCTAAATTTTAAAATGAAATGTTCTTATTTTATAACTGTTTTTTTCACAAGTCCTAAGGACCAGTTAGGTTAGGTGATTCACTAGTCCTTGCTGAATCTACTAGTCCAGGACTAGTGTTAGTGTCGACCCCTGTAATGTCTACTACAGTACTCTCCAGGACTAGTGTTAGTGTCGCCTGTAATGTCTACTACAGTACACTCCAGGAGTAGTGTTAGTGTCGCCTGTAATGTCTACTACAGTACACTCCAGGACTCGTGTTAGTGTCGACCCCTGTAATGTCTACTACAGGACACTCCAGGACTAGTGTTAGTGTCGACCCCGTAATGTCTACTCCAGTACACTCCAGGACTAGTGTTAGTGTCGCCCCCCGTAATGTCTACTACAGTACACTCCAGAACTAGTGTTAGTGTCGACCCCGTAATGTCTACTCCAGTACACTCCAGGACTAGTGTTAGTGTCGCCTGTAATGTCTACTTCAGTACACTCCAGGACTAGTGTTAGTGTCGACCCCGTAATGTCTACTACCGTACACTCCAGGACTAGTGTTAGTGTCGCCTGTAATGTCTACTTCAGTACACTCCAGGACTAGTGTTAGTGTCGACCCCAGTAATGTCTACTACAGTACACTCCAGGACTAGTGTTAGCGTCGACCCCTGTAATGTCTACTACAGTACACTCCAGGACTCGTGTTAGTGTCGACCCCTGTAATGTCTACTACAGGACACTCCAGGACTAGTGTTAGTGTCGACCCCCGTACTGTCTACTACAGTACACACCAGGACTAGTGTTGTGTCGACCCCGTAATGTCTACTACAGTACACTCCAGGACTAGTGTTAGTGTCGCCTGTAATGTCTACTACAGTACACTCTAGGACTAGTGTTAGTGTCGACCCCGTTATGTCTACTACAGTACACTCCAGAACTGTGCGACACAATGCATGGAACTGATAGAAGACCTTAAGTGAAAAATGTGTTTTACCTGGCCGACCCTATTTTTTCTGACAACCTTCATGTCTTTTTGGACTTTTCGTAGGAAGGAATGAGAACTTCAGTTTTCAATTTAAATGTAATTTAAGCAAAAAGTGTTTAAAAAATAAATACAAAATCCTAATTTAACTTCCCTTTTTCATTTTGGAATGTTAGCAGTAAGCCAGTAACAAGAGTATTTTATACATTGTGTGCGTCAAATTACTTTTTAAGTTATCAAATTGAAAAGAATTAACAATAAAAACAAACAAAACAATAATACTTTTTAATTAAAACTAAATCAGATTCTGGTATGGGACATTTTCCCTAAATCTCCTTTTTTTTTGCAAAAAAATCGAATGGTTTCTCTGGATTTTTCATTGGCATCAGAAACACATTATTATTTTGTTTAGTTAAATTGTGAAAGACTAAATGTGTAAGATTATAATTGAAGTACCATCAAGACCAGGCTGTAGTACTTACCTTCATTTGCTGATTTTGATGCACAATATAGTTCGATGAACCATGTTTTCAGTGAATTATAATTGAAATGGTTGAATGTTTGTTGTCGTAACGAACTGAAATGTTTTAATTTAACTTTTAAATAAGTTAAAAACTTGTCAGGTCGCGAATGCATCGTACTCCCCCGGTAATTGTTGCGTAAAATTGGAGATCTGTTGCACAAAGATTTATATTTATGAGATAAATTATATGCATCTGATTTTTTAACCATTTACACAAAGATTTAATCGTAAATAGGCTTTTTCGTTATTATTTTTTATAATGCTGATTCAAATATTGTTGCAACATGAATTGATCGCTGGTAGGAACCTTTGAATAAAATTCATAAACAGGGCCAGACCTGGGTTATAGGTACCCATAATATTGAATTCATTTGGAAAAACTGCCAATAAAGTAGACACTTAAAACCAGCAGGGAAGTTGTGTTGTAAATCAGACACAAAACCTTTAAAAGAAATGCAAGAATAGAAAACGATATTCCTCTGCATCCACTGAGTATTGACTTTCTTTCCCAATGTAAATCAGTAATCTGGAATCGGGAGTCATTCTTAAGATTTTTTATGATGATGCCAAGTTAGTCTGTCTGAGACACAAGACTATTTTCCACTTTAGAAGCATTGATTTAAAGAAAAAAATTGATGTTCAAATTATTTCTGTCGCATTCTTGCTTCTGAGGCTTTGCGCTTTGTCCTTTTTTGCCTTTAGAAATCTGTCTGTAAGATATGTTTGACCAGAAATGTCATTTTTATCTGGGATTGAATTCCATTCTATTATAAAGAGATGACAAATCATATTTTTTTTACTGGGTTGAATTCCTTTCTGTTTATAGAAAAGACAAGTGATGCATTTCTTTAGCCTCAATTCCTTCATATCTGATAGGAAAGATGAAAAATCTATTTCTTTCCTGTTATGAATTAGTTCTGCTGTTGCTGCAGCAATAAATGAAATAACATACAAATTTTGCATTTAATTTTTGACAGAGGAAGGAGCGGGCCGAACAGATAGCATACAAGCTGGAACAGGACCTGGCTTTGTGTAAGTATAGAGTACATACAGGCATGCTCACAATAATGGGTCTTGTATTTACAATTTTGTCAAGACAATCTAACCTCTTATGGGACATGTCAAAGTTGGCCTGTCAGATGCCTACTGCTGCTGACTCTCTGAATACAGATCAGTTCAAGATACAGCCTAGTCTGACCAGAGCACTTACAGGGAAGAAGATATAACCAGGTGGTATCTCTATCCCACTTCAGCTTCCTGATATAACCAAGCCTTTTTTTTCAAAATTTTGGGAACGGGGCCTGTAACATTGAAATTTGGAAATTTGTGTTGCAATAAAACTAAATTGAGTTTTTAGAATTATAAACAAGTTTTATTTTTTTTGCAAAGTGTCAACGGAGATTTGTATTCTGCCCTATTATGCCCCCCAGACCCCCAACCTGACCCCCAAACCCCACTAACCCCCAAAGCATACAGATTGTCATCTTGCTTTAAAAAAAGTCAAAAAGTAAGGATGATTATGTTTGATCGCCAGAGTAAGATGTTTGGTTAAATAGAGGATAAAACAGTCACAGATAGTCGAATCATAAAATCAGGGTTTTTTCAGTGATACTCATACACAATGCTATAGTAATGTGATTTTTGTATCCTAGTTTCCCTGGTTCCTCCAAATTTAAGATATTTTTAAACATGTCTTTAGTAAAATGAAAAATTTCATTTCATTTACATATTTTGGAATAAAATGAAGTTTTCTTCTCTGTTGGGAATTAATTGGTCCATAATGAGTGGATGGAATGAGTAATACATCTTGGGTAGTTCTGTTAATACATTTATGTGAAGAATATTTTGAATCTACATTTCGCTTTAATAGCCCACGCAATCCTGACAATCCTCTGGAACTGCTACCACTAAGGGAAGGACATGATTTCATTTTATTGGTGTTTTACTTCCCTTCAGAGACACATTGATGACTCCTTGAATTAGAAAGATTTTACAGGTTTCGTCTTTCATTTTCTGGTTGAAACAGGCAGAAGGGATGGGTTTTAAAGCAATATCACAGTAATGAATTTATTCTTAGTGTGGCATTGAATTACAGCTAGATTATTTTAAACGGGGGATGGACAGGATGTGCTAGAGGCTAAAATTCAAATCAAGCATTTTATAGACCATGATCTTAAAATAGAAATTAATTAGCAGATGGTTCTTCCTGTGTGGCTATTTATAGGATAGTGTCCTGGATGTGGAGGTGCTGGTCATGTAGGTTTCAATTGTCTGACTGCATTGGTCAGTCGTATAAAGGCATTCCAAGTATTGGTCATCACTTCAATCAGACTTTGGCTAATTATACGATGGCCAGTTATAGAACTTAGTGTATTTGTATATTGGCCATACCCATCACCAATGCCTTTCTTTTTCTTAGATTGTAGTGTATCTCAATATGACCTTTCAGTAGGGATGCCTGGGTAACTACTCAATGTTGGGTTGAATTTTGACTTTGCTGTCAAGGGTTAGGTTGTATTGAGAGTTAGTGGAAGATATTGATGGGAGTCAAGTCTGGTAGATTTTCCAGGTTGCATGTATTTGTAGGTAATTGTCTTGCAATGCTTTGCAGTCTGTCTTCCCCAATTGTTAGCTCTGTGTGTGTGCATTTATGTGTGTATATGCTGTCTGTCACTGTTACATTGTTCTAAAGAGGAATTGAGGGTTGTACAGTAGTAGCTAAATCATTTAATAGTTCTAAACATTTTCCCCCGAAAAACCCACAAGACTCCCCAAGTCATGCTAGAAAACTGAGGCTCAGAAATCTGCTGTCTGCGGCAACTTTTGTCTGGGTGTAGAAAGAATCCATTGATTTTTCACCTCTCCGGGAACATAAATTTGTCTTTGTTGACAAATAAGAAATGTTCTTTACGGTAACACCGGTATCTGTTGCGTCTTGTTGACAGGAGTAAAACAACGGAGAAGGGTAACTGATTGTACAATGGGGAAAAGAAAATGAGAAACACGTTGACCTAGAGTTATCTATTTTTGTTGATGGACAAGTTTTGTGATTTACAAGGAAAGTAGGCAAGCTTTTTTTAGGGATTGGTATAACATCCACTATGGTACAAATGGAAAGCAAAGGTGTGAATGGCAGGGAATAATCCAGGGTGCAGTATTTACAATACTCACAATCAATGATATAAGTGCAGGTATTTCAAGTGATTAAATATAAATTAAGTTTCAACTAATCATCCAAATATATATATATGTATGTGTGTGTAAAACAAGAACCCTGCTGCTCGCCTTGTCATAGCTTTTATCATATATAAAGAAGATTGGAAGTTTTGTAAAATGTAAGGGGTCGGGACATTCCCCCAGTTTCAGTTTTCTGGAAAAATCCCTGATAATATTGCAGATCAAACAAAATTTGCAGGTAAACTTGATCACTTAGTGAATTTGAAATAACAGCAAATGTCTAATAGCTAGCCCATCACCATTTAGGTTTTGATGGATATTGTGACATCATAATTCACTGAGGCTGTCAAAATGAAAGTTGACCCGCCATTGTGAATCGGTCAGATCCTTACACACATCCAATCGCTGAATAATTTAACATCCCTCTCGGAAGTCAAATGCCAGATCAATAAATCGTTGCAGTGGAATCTCTCAAACATATTGTTAGTTTCAATTTGGAAGTCGCATTAACGACCTGTTCATCATACATTATTGTGCCTTAGCATTATTCAAAGTGGCAAAACTAGGAAAGGGGGTAAGGGTGTGGTTATTTAGTCCATTTAAACTGTGTTCTTTGAAGAGATTTTTGAGGGGGGAAATAGAAAGAAAAAAAAAAAAGAGTATTTTTTTAAAAAACAGCGTTATTTGTAGCTCCAACATTGATTGGTTAATCAATATTAAAAAGAAACAAACTGATAAATTTGAAAATAGGAGATCTGCAACTAGATGGCCCTAGTGTTGGAACCAGAACCCTTGGCAACCCATCTACTGAGATCACACTTGTTAGACAGAACCCTCGATTTCCTGACTACAAAAATCAGAACCTATAAAGCTGAACTCTTGTTTCTCGTACCTAAAATTACAACCTGTGCAGTGGAACCCTTGATTTCCGTAATGATGGAGATCACAACCTGTAAAGCAAACCCTCGATCCCCGCACCTTAGTGGATTATAACCGGTTCAGGTACCCAATACAAAGCAGCAAGCCATATGGTTAATACACGGATAAATCAATCTTATTTCTTCGAAACAAATTTGATTGATCATGAGGTGAAATGAGCGGTACAGATGTGTAAGGCAGATGAGAGAGACAGTGACGAGTGCTGACACTAATTACAGGTGTGACAAGATAGGTATACTACCTCTGGCTCGGGTTCAACCTGAACGTGTGTTAATCCTTTCATGGCGGCGGCAGAGAAAAGGTCTCTTAGCGAACCACCCCGGAGAATGTATCGCGTGATACGCACAGGCTTTTCACGTATGGAGAGATATAGGAACACACTTTTTGATTACGTCGCACTAATTGAATAGTCGGCTCAATATATTTTGATCCAGCTGCCTTTATTTTTCACCGTCAGCTAACCACAGCTACATTGTACAGATTATGAAGAATACCGACTTCAGACTTCATCATCGTCAAATATCAATGGGTTTAGCTTACTGGATACCCGCAATAAAACATGTAACTTTATACAGCAATGATCTGGCCTTCCCTGGCTTATCGATCAGAATAGGGGAAAGGTCTTTATTGCTTTCCTTTGTCATTTTGCATGATGTTTATTTACGTGCAGTAAGAAGTGTATATTTGGATTGATCGGGATCACTTGGGCAAGAGAAGACAGTCATCGTGATTGCTTCGTAATAGACCTATATACATTGGATACAATGTTACGGCTTACAAATAAAAATTCCCTAAAATGATGATCCAGTACACCTTAACATAGAGAGAGAAAAAATCAATACCAGTCTCCTTCTACCTTGTGTATTTTATGTTAATGACTTTGATTAGCTCCCCGAAGTTTCGAAAAGTAATTAATTTGTATCTGAATAATAGAACATGTGGATCAGAGAAAAGCCAATATAGAAGTCTTAGTATCATGGTATGGCATCCAGCGTTAGGATATATACACATCTGTCATGTCGCAATTCTATCGGAGATTGGCGGTCGGAGGAAGAACAGCAGCTAATGATAGTTAACTACAGCTTAATTGGCATTGTAATTCAGCTTTTTAATATTTTTTAGTTTAATGACAACATGGATATATGATAGTTTTGAATTTGTTTGCGCCATTTGCTTTATAATTGTTGTTAAAAATTCTCATGTATTATTTATTCAAATTTAAATATCAATTGTCACAAGTGCCATAGATGTATTGCAGCACATGTATGCATTAATTACTTAGTTAAACACAATAGCCAATCATGAAACAAGGAAGTATAGAATTCTTGATGGATTACCATATTTAACCTTTTAAAAGACATGCTTTCTGACTTAAGCAGATACAAATTATTTCAGTAAATTACGCTCTGTTCAAACCACGCTATGCCCAATCAAGAATTTTAATAAGATTGGCCGAAACATATGGTTTCCGCTGTAAAATGAATGAATAACAAATAAACTCTCTTCATATGGAACTGGAGACATTACATGGCATTTGTAAGGTCAGATTTCTTTTTTCCCCCCGAGTTCTTGTTCATGCACAGCTAGATATTTTACCCGTTTCTAGCTATTAGATGAGTACCTGTCAGTTTCTGTGGTTGTAGCTATTAGATGAGTAACTGTAAGTTTCTGTGGTTGTAGCTATTAGATGAGTACCTGTCAGTTTCTGTGGTTGTAGCTATTTGATGAGTACCTGTCAGTTTCTTACAGTTGAGTTTAATAAACATTCAGGGATGGAGCTCTCCTGTCCTATATTAGAATTTGTTTGTTTGTTTGGGTTTAATGTCCTTGCAACACTGCCCTTGGTCATATGAAGACGGATATTTTGAGAAATGTCCTAAAAGCATAACACTGAAATATGTAGCTTCTATCGTGGA